CGGGTTAGCACACTTTCTCTGTAATGGGTCAGATATTTTAGGCTCTGCAGGTCTAGAGGCAAAATCAAGGTTATCGTATAGGTACTTGGATAATAAGAGAGAAAATAAATTTCCACTATTTTTTTGCTAATGAAATTCAAAATGCAATAATAATAGTGGCTTGGCAACTGTAGCTCAGCAGGTAGGGCACTGGCCACATACCCCAGAGCAGGCAGGTTCGAACCCAGCCAGGCCTGCCAAACAACAACTACAACCAAAAAATAGCTAGGCATTGTGGCGGGCACCTGTAGTCCCAGCTACTTGGGAGGCTGAGGCAAAAGAATCACTTAAGCCCAAGAGTTTGAGGTTGCTGTGAGCTATGACACTATGACACTCTACCAAGGGTGACATAGTGAGACTCTGTCTCAAAAAATAAAAATAATAGTGGAGTACAGTTTTTTAGTAAAGCAGGTCTAATTACTCTTAATTGGATTTTAGAACTCATCTTCCCCATCCTCAGTGTCGGTTGCGAATGGTAATCTGTAAAGATCTTTAGCTCTTAGCCATGGCAAAACCTGGCCTCTGGACCATTGTTTGCCCACCCCAGAATCACATCTCCTCAGGCAGAGGTGGACTTGGGCTGCACTGCCCGGCCTCTTATGACGTATGTTAGAGACCTCTGTAGGTTCTGTGGGGACCAAGGGCTGGATGCTCTCCATGTGGAGAAAGGGGTGTCAGTAAATGATAGTGATGCTGAACCCATAGAGGACAAGGGCTCGGGGCCTCCCGAGTGAGCCCAGTGGTCACGGGACAGCCCTCAGGCGGCATGGAAGAGGTCATGGTCAGCGCACAAGTGGTGGGGATTCTGCAGAGAGCTGCTTTGGTGAATAAAGAGGACCCAGTGGCTGTTCATAGAACAGTTTGTGGACTCTGAAGAGATCCTTTTAAAGTGGTTGAAAACAGTTGTTTATTTTCCTCAGAAATATTTGCAACACACCCCCAGTCTTGTTTGTATGATGATCTACTCCGTGAAACTTGTTTTACAAGCTAAAGGTCAGCCCCCGTCCAGCTCCTCAGAATCAGTGAGGTTTGGCCAGACATTAAGCTGCTAGCAGTTCCTGCTTAAGTCTTTATTGTCTGTTAGGATTTTTGCCTCGGTTTGTAGTTTTTACACATAGGGTTGGGTAAAAGTTACAGCTTTGTTACCTTCTCCTGAACTTGAGTAGATTTGAGGGGGCGATGGGGTGGGTAGACCTGGACCTGACCGGTTTAGAAATCTTAGCCTGATGGATAGACACCTGCTTTCTGGAGACTGTCCGATCTGATTTTTTATTGCTTTATGATTCTAGTGCTATTTTCATATATAATTGATGAAAGCTTTTTCTAGTACTCAGTCTTAAACGATCATTCCAACTTCTCCCCCTGAACAAGTTTAATTTTCATTATCTCTAAATATGCGCCATAATGAAGGGTGAAGGATGTGTTTTTGAGTGGGGAGGTAATTACTTTCCCCTCTCGCAATTTGAGTTAAGAATTATCTGTGCCTTTATTTCCAATCTCTGTGGACGACAGAAGCACAGCAGCTAGGGTTCATCCTCTCGTCCCTGCGTCCAGAAACACTGCTTGCCCTTTAGTGACCCAGGCAGAAGATTCCCTGTGGGGAGGGTGTGTCCCATGAGAGAATGTGGGAGGAAATTTGTCAGAGTTCAACTGTGAGGTAAAGTTTGTGTCGTATGTGATCAGCCGTCCCCACTGAAGCGTGCCACCCCTCTGACGACCATGTTTTCTAGCATGGTTGAGCCACACTCCTGTAGACGCACGATTGCCCTGTCCTTGATGGGGGTTTTAGAGGCAAGAGGGTAGAGTCTGGTTAAGAGAGACTGAGCAGACCTGCAGAGTGGCAGCTGCCCAGCTTTGAGCCCAGAGCTGTAGGGTCCCTGCGGTTCTCTCATCCTTGGGTGGCCTCTCTCAGAATCCACTTCCTGGCTGCTGTTCTAATCCCTTAGCCTCTCTGTGGCCTGTGGAAGCTTCAAGTGCAGCTTTCCATCCTGGGAAGCCCCATTGCCTGTGTTTTGCTCTCAGTCACTTATAGAGCTGTTTTTGTTTTGAGACAGAGTCTCACTCTGTTGCACAGGCTTGAATGGCGTGGTGTCATCATAGTTCACAGCAAGCTCAAATTCTTGGGCTCAAGCAACCTTCTTGCCCCAGCCTCCCAAGTAGCTAGGACTGCAGGCACGTACCACCATGCCTTGCTAATTTTTCATTTTTAGTAGAAACAGGGTTTCGTTCTTGTTCAGGCTGGTCTTGAACTCAAGCAATCTTCCCTCTTTAGCCTCCCAGAGTGCTAGGGTGACAGGCCTGAGCCACTACACCCAGCCTGTTTTTAAATGAGTTCTATGTCACGCTGTCTGGTAGGCATTGAGGGTTCAATGATTAATAAATATCAGTTCCTGACCTTAGAGTCTTAAAAAAATAAGCAGTAAGATATTTTATTAATATTTGATGCGACTGAAGATATCCAAAGTATTATTTTAACATGTGGCACTGGCCACATTTCAAGTGCTCAGCAGACACACATGGCTGGTGGCTCCAGTAGTGGACAGCATAGGTCTAGAGCAGAGCTGGGCAGGTGCAGAGAGCAGCTCAGTGCACGTGGTAAGGCTTTCGCATTTGTAGGGGGTTATCTTTTATCTTACCACTGTATCGGGCTCAGTACATGGTTTGTAGTGTGTGTGCAATAAATTTCGTCAGATGAAATCCTAAGTGCCAGGTGCTACAGGAAAACCTGGGAAGAGCAGAGTCCTAGCCCATCCTGCAGGGGTGGACTGTCAGGAGGGGAGCCGCCTCTGAACCAATGCAAAAGGAGGAGTGTGGCTGGGAGGAGGCAGAAAGGGTGTTCTAAGCTGAGAAGAGAGTGCACAGGTGCTGGTGAGGGGAGCTATGGGTAGTTCCTTATGACAGGAGCTCAGGGCACACGTGAATGAGGGCGAATGTCAGCAGGTGATGCTGGAGAAGCAGGAGGGCTCAGATCTGTAGTTTACAGCTTGTTATTCTGAGGATATCAGGAAGCCTTCAGTGACCGGGCTGGGCAGTGCCCCTGTACCTTTGTTGTGTGTTTTTCCTCTTCTCCCTTTACACCTCTGGGCTCGTGGAGGTGCTTAATAAGCATGTTGTCCCACTTTGGTGCTTCCAGAGAGCCAGCCAGACTGGTGTCAGCCAGTGTCTTCTGCTGTCTGTGGGAAGGTTTGGACAGAGGAATGAATGGCTTTTATTATTGGAATGCGGGTCTGATTCTGTTCTAACCAAGTGCACAGACTGGGCAGGACCAAACTGCCCAGTTGTAGGATGTGATCTGCTAGTGGATTGGGAAGGAAAAATGATGAGACGTGGTAAAGAGAGTTATTTTCATGTGCTATTTACAGTTCCAAATCCTCTTTTATATCTCAAAGGAAGATCAGGAATGGATTAGAGGGAACCACTTAGGGAAATAGGAGTTACTCTATATAAGAAATTTTGACTTTAGTATAAGTGTTTATCAACTCTATTCTCTAGTATGACAGAAAATGCCTTTTAAAATAGAACTTTTAAAATTTAGGTTCATAGCAAAATGAAACAGAAAATAAAATACAGAAACTTGGCGTGTTGCCCCTGTGCCCTGCCTCCTTCATTATTACCCCGCCCCACCATAGTGGGATGCCCGTTGCCATCAGTGGACCTGTACTGACACATCATTCTCACACACATCATGCCTGGATTAGGGCTCCCTGTTGGTTCTGTACACCCCATGGGTTTGCCCGGTGTATATAACACATCATTATAGCTTTTCTTTGTATCATAAGCACGCTGTCAAGTGTCTGGTGCCTTGTGATCGTTTTTCCATTTAAACTTGTCAACATAGTGACATCTGTTTTTACCGTCCAATAAAATGGTCATTGTGACCTTGGAACTAGGACTTACTCTACTGAAATGGATTCCAGAGGTGATTTGGAAAGGCTGAAGTCCAGGACCCATTTACTCCATTTTTCTGCTCGGTTGCAGGTGATAGGTCGAAGTGTTTATGATCAAAACTCATCAGGAGTGGTAAGAACTTCTGCTACCAAGTGTCTCCTGTGTACCAGCGCTGAGGCTGGGTACGTCATGTAGTCTTTACAGGAACCCTGGGATTGTGTCACTATCCCAGTTTGTAAATGTTCTCCCTAAACACCAAAGTTTGACATCCTTTGTGCTTCTGTGTTTTGCTTTCCCATCTTTTGTGAAAGCAGAGGTAAAATTAAAGCTCTAGGTACGATGAGTCATTGAGTAGGGCACCTACTGTGTGCTAGGCATCGTAAGCTCTGTATACTACTACGCCACGTAGTTGGTCTGCAAATATTTGCTGAATAGTAAATACGTAAGTGTGTCTATTTAATTCAGCCCTGCAATGTTGGTATTGTTACTGCCAATTTCTGGAAGGGAAATCTGAGGCTTGGAAGGGATTAGGAACATGCCTTCTAACGTAGCTAACAAACAAATTGGTGCAGGGTCTTTCCAAACCCAGAGTGAGGTTGCCTCTCGCTCAGCCATGCTGCCTCTGGCTGGGGCAGGTCTGGGCCTGCTAGTTGGCTATCCTTTTAGCCTACATGTCCAGGCACTCTGGGGGTGGGGCCCTCGACGTCTGCCCATATTTACCATCCCCTCTATTTACACCCGGCAGACAGGCTCCTCCTGGAGCCTTGCTGGTACCCAGGGAGAGCGAGGCATGGTGCAAGCAGAGTCTGTCCATTAGCTCATTTCATAGCAGAGGACTGTGGCCCTGCTCACTGCTTCAAGTGAATGAGGCTTATGAGGAGGGGTGGTTTTTAGAAATTGCCAACAAAGTTCCTGTTCCCTACAGATTGAAAACTAATCTTCTACGATGCGCTGAGCATTTGTCCCGCAGAAACAGCCTTGAGGGGCCTGGCTGAGCCGAGACCTCACGCACCGCTCTCTGGTTGTGGTCTTAGTGAAAATACATCTTAATGAATATATTCTCTGTTTTTCAGGCTTTGGACGTGGACCGGATGGTTCTTTACAAAATGAAGAAATCTGTGAAAGCGATAAACATCTCTGGGCTGGGTGAGTTGCATCCTTCTCTAGGGCTGGTGCCTCAATCTTCCACCGTTAGTGAGCTAGTGAGCCAAACTCCTCTTTCTGGGCATGCAAATGTAGTGGTGAGTAGGGATGTTCATTTCTGACGAGAGGGTTTTATTTTGTTGCTCCTCTAATTCCTGTACCCCCTGCCCCCAGCACCCCCACTGTCTCTGTCCTGTGTTGTGTTTCCTGTGGTCTGGAGTATCGTCCTGCACAGACCTGCTTTATCACCCAGCTGACGCACGGCATACCCTCATTTCTGCCTCTGTCATTGGTTCCTGCTGTTGATCACGTCAGGGTGCCCTTTCCATTTCTCTCTTGTCCAGTTCTTGCTTTTTCTAGTTTGGAAAGAAAATGAATAAATATACAAGCACAGTCAACTAATCAAAGCAATATTTGATCTAGAATTGTAAGTATGTTTGGGGAAAGAATCCTGCTGTACCTTTTGGCTTAAACATGATAGACTGCATCTCAGGTCTGCCTGTACACAAATCCTACATGTGTTAGAAAATATTTCTAAAAAGTCATTAAGGGAAGATATAATTATACCCCCAAACAAGAACGTGGCAGCCTTGGGAGATGAGGACCTGAGAGATGGAAACAGAGCTAAAGGACTGACTGCTTACGGGAGCACACCCCTGCCCAGGTACAGGGAGGGTTTGGGTGCCCGAGGGCCCAGGATCTGTCCCCACAAAGCAGTCAGGTGCCTTGATGGCTACACTGTGTCCTCTTCCCCTTCCTGGGGTCCCCCTTTAGAGAAAGTGGTGATTGGAGGAGGACAGGGACGTCCTCAGGTGGTTGTGATGTCAGGAGGGAAGTACAGTAGTCTGGGAGTACACGTCTCACCTGCCACTCCCCTGGCCCACAGCTGTGATAGTGTGAATGTAAGCTGTAAGCTCTGATAGCCGCTCTCGACACTCCCTCAGTTAGGGCTGGGTGAGCCACAATCATGAAGAGCCTCGTAGGATCCGTAGTGCAAGATGATATTCCAAACAAGCATTGCTCAGTTTATTCAGGAGCCAGTTAAACAAAAGATGTCTAAGAACTCTACTCTGACAACTGCAAAATGCTGCTGACCGAAATTAAAGAAGCATTAAATGACAAATATATGATGTATGTGTGTTGGAAGACTAATGTTAAATGCCATTTCTCCCCAAATTGATCTCAAGATTCACTCCAATGCCAGTCCCAATTCCAGAAGGGGAAATTGACAAGCTGATTCTAAAATTAATATGGGAGGTCATGGCCTCTAGCTCTTTTCCTGGACAAAATGATGGGGACAGGAGGAACAGGAGATTTTAGTTTATATTTCTTTGAACACTTGTCGTGTACCACGTGCTTCCTATACGTTATGCTAATCTTGATAACTACCAGTTCTCATTATATCAAAAAGGAACCCGCAGATTAGAGAGTTAAGGGTGTCCCAGGATGTCTGGAGACCCAGAGCCACGACCCTGCTTTCTTACTGCCGGCTCAGGGCTGTGGTCCCTCTGGTCTAGAAGCTACCACTTGTCTTTACAGTATCTGACACGCTAAGTGACTGTCCAAGAAATGATAAAGAAATGGGACGCTCAGTTTTGTTGACAAGTACCAAATCAAAAAGTATCTTGGGAGGTTTTTGTTACTGTGCTCACTTGGGCATTTTGAGTTTATAATTTGAGGGATATTCTATATATTACATCAAAAGGATATTTTATATTCTGGTTAGATTCAAAAAAGATTTTATAGTCATATGTTGAAAAAGCTGTGCTTATCACAAATAAAAATGAATGAATCTGCTTCTTGTGCAAACATTGGCTGTGTAACCACTGCTAGTTGGAGGAGGGTCTTGTGTGACTCTCAAGGCTAACCCTGAGGCTGGCGGTGCACCTTATAGAGGAACACACCGTCGTGGGGGTGTTTTGGTGTCGGGGAATAGCTGTGAAGTTTCACAGCACTGCTGTCCCATTTGCCTGCTGACCTATATTGCTGGGTGTGTGCCACAAACCTCATTCCTTTTCCTGCTCCCTGCCCCCAGAGTAATTTCCTAAAATGCAGACCCAGCGATGTTATTTCTCTGCTTAAAAGTCTGTAGCATTTTTCGTTGCCCACTTTGAAGTTCATGGAAGTTGTAGAGAACGGGAGAGATGAAGAAGGCCTCTGTGGGGTTTAGAATGTTGGGAAATTGGGATAAAGCACCGGTGAATAGGCTTCTCGTCCTACAGAACTATCCCGTGTTGTACAGTAACATGCAGCCGTGGCCTGTGAGAGGATATTGGTCACAATCTTTTCCAAATTCATCATCTATGAAATTGCCACTGCCTCCCTTGATTGCCTCCCTCTATGCCTCAGCTGAGTAAATGATGCTGAACGACTGGTCACCTGGACCCAGGCCACCCTCCAGAGCCCCTCCTGACTCCTCGGGGTCCTTCTCTGAAAGGGCGCACAGTCTCCCCGTGGGCCATGTTTTGTGCCTCCTTCCCTCTGCATGGGCTCTTCTGTATGCTTTAAATGGCATTCTGCGGCTTCATCAGAGGAAACTGAGGCCCCAGGGAGTCGAGATATTTACCCAGAGTCACAGAGCTAGGAAATGAGAGGGCTGGGGTTTTAATCCAGCCCCTTTGGCCTCTCCAGGGCACCCTGTAACAATAGGCTGCCTGGTACCTGGGGTGAGGTCTCCTGTTTCATCATCTTTTAGCCACCTATGATGTCATGCCAAGTTTGAGTTATTACATGGTCGTGGGTCTGAATTTTTTTTTAAGCCAGCGTACTAATCTGAAATCTTTACTTCAGAACAAGTGCTGTCTTCTTCAAAAAAGTCACCTGAGGAAACTGCTTTTTCTTGCTGTGCTGCTGACATGGTTCACAGCGTTTTTGGAACTCTTCTCTAGAACTGCTTTTAGTAGCACATTCTTGTGGATATATTTAGTAGACGAGTCTAAGGATAGATTAAACTTTTTTAGAACTAGATGTCAGAAATAAGTCACACACATTCATGAAGAGACTGAGTTGTGGCTACCGCAGTCGGCCAGGTGCCTGTGACTGTAGAGTCGTTGGCTTGTAAGGCAGTCAGTTCTGAAAGGCAAGTTCCCTGCAGTGTTTTGATTGTGAAAGTAACATCCCAAGGTACCTCCTTATATAGGAAGAATGCTCATTTTACGTATGATTAAAAGAACAGTGAAAGTAAGTTAGCCTCACACCACGTTCCTATTCCTGTCTTGTATTTCCTGGGGGCAGGGACTTTCCTGCCTCCTTTCCTGATTTGTCCTGGATGGCCCCCATCTGAGCCTGGGTCTGCCGGGTGTCCCTCACTCCATGCTGGGCCTCACTGCTTTGTGACCATGTGGTGACGGAACAGCCCCACCCTGGTCTGTTGACATGGTCCCCCATCCCAGTCACCCAGGTGGGACCTGCCTGTCCTCCCCCACCCATCTCTGTCAGGTTGAGACTTGGTCTGGCCTTGACCTTCTTTGCTTCTCTCATGTATTTGCATGCCTCAAAGTGACACAAAGTACCTTTTAGGTCTGTAGGTCAGAAGTCTGACGTGGATCCCACTGGGCTAAAATCAAAGTGTTGGCAGATTCCTTCCTTACCTTCCCTAGTTTCGAGGAGCAGCTGCATTCCTTGGCTCGTGGCCCCTTAGTTGGCTTCAGCTGCTATACCAAAGTACCATAGAATGGTGACTTAAACAGCAGAAATTAAACAGCAAGGTCTGGTGAGGGCTCTCTTCCCAGTCTGCAGATGGCTGCCTTCTCATTGTGTGCTCCCAGGGCAGAGAGAGAAAGCAAAGCAGGCTTCCTGCTGTCTCTCCTTATAAAGGCACCACTAATCCCATCATGAAGCCCTCAGCCTCACGACCTCATCTGAACCTGATTACCTCCCAGTGACCCCATTTCCCAAAACCATGATACTGGGAGTTAGAGCTTTAATATATATGCCTCTGGGGACACAGTCCCATAACAAATGTTGATTCTCTCCCACAATTAAGGACCCTTGTGATTACAAATAGAGGCCACTCAGGTATCTAGGATAACGTTGAGGAAAAATGTTTTTCCTTAGGGCCATGGTGTTTCCTTGGGTCAAGGTAGGGCATGAGACACGTGAGTTGTCTGCAGTATATACTTCACAAGGCCGCACGCCCAAAAGTAGCCTAAGTTAAACACAACTCAGATGACAGTTAATGTGATAATCTCCCCACCTCAAAGTCAGCTAATTAGCAACTTTAATTATATCCAAAATTTCTATTCCCTTTAGCCAAGTAGGGGAACATATTCACAGGTTCCAGGACTGTGGACATTTTGGGGGGCAGGTGTGTCTATCATACCTCACCTCTGAATTCTTACGGTTTTGAGGTTGAATCTGTTTTGACGCTTCTGTTCAGCCACAAATTAAAGGGCACATAATACACAGGCACTGTCAACACTTTAAATGTTGCTCCTTATTGATCTCTAATAATTTTGTGTCCGTTGATCTTTGCTCCTTAATTAATTGTAAGCCCCTGAGGTCAAGGACTGATGCTAGGGGGTGAAGCAGTTAGGATAAAGAGCATACAGGTATTAGAATCCAGGAAGGCTGGATTCAAACTAACAGTGCCATTCAAAAAGTCCGTGGCATGAGGACAATTGTTTAGTCTTTCTGATCCTCGATTTCCTCGTTCATCAAATGGGAATGTTAATAGCTGACAGGACTGTTAGGATTCACTGAGATAATGGGACACAGTGACAGGTGTGGTCTGAGTACACAACGGGCAGGGCGGCTGTGAGTAGACTTCCTGTGTGTCCCTCGCAGGGCCTAGCACTGGTACCCAGTAAATACTCAGTTGTATGTATGTGATTGTGTCTCTGCTGTGAGTTCTTAGACTGTCCTCATGGTGTAGGAGAGACGTTTCAGGTATAAGCAGCGTATATCATGACAACCCCTGCAGTCTGCTTTGTGAGGATCTATGTGGGTTTATATAGATGGGGGATTTAAGATGTCTTAGAGCAGGAGTAGGCAAACCGAGGCAG